TTAATTTTTTTCCTAAAGTTAAATTTGGGAAGCTCAGTGCTTCTCCTGTGGGATAGTGAAGGTTAGTGTGGCCAAGCTGTGTGCATTTCACATACTCAGCTTTGACCTGTCAAGCCTCCCTTCCACTTGAAAGCAGATCCATACTGTTGAGATGAGCATGATAAGCTATAATTAGAGATGAGCCTTAAAACTCCTGCTCTTAGCAAATGGATAGTATTGGATAATAAATGGAAATGGATGAGTCGAAAAAAATGAAGAGCACTTCAGCCTGCTGGCCTTGCCATGGCTCTGACTGCCATGTCGTTGCTGAAGAGGCCATAGGAAGGTAAGAGCCACGTGCAGCTTTTCTGTTTGAAAAGAGGTAGTACAAGGTTGAAGGGCAGGTATGGGGTCACTGGGAGAGTGTCTGGGGCAGACACACTTGCGAGGGTCCAGGCAGCTTGATTAAAAAGCAAAAATCATAACTTTGAAAAAATACCATCCTTTTTATCACTGAAGTAGTAAATACCCCTATTTATTTTTCAAAATGTGCTCATTTTTGTCTTGGTTTAAGGAAATATCCATCATCAGGACACCAGTGGGGCCCAAAAGTCACACTAGCATCAGTTATGTTTTAAGCATGTGCTTGAAATTCTGCTCATGCTTGCCTACCAAGCTGGTGATTGCAGTGCTCACTGCTCGAAGCCTTGCATGCCCCTGTATGTAATGAAGCATGGAATGAATATAGAAAGCAGCATAAAGAGCAAGTAAGCCTTGCAAAACAAAATTCTATGGCTATCTTAGTTTGGCCTAAGCAGCAGCATATCTTATAATGTTTTATTAAAAGCTGCTAAATTATTGATATTATTCCTCCTGTGCCACAATTTGTTTTTCCAGTATGACACTAACTAGAGGGTAATGCTTGAGGAATAAAGTTTAGATGCTACCAAAGGAGCTATTAGCTTGTAACACATCAATAACTTAGAATGTAAAGCTAGCGGAGCACTCTGTCAACAATATCAGGACATCAGGTTTCCTAGAGAGCATTTATTGTCCACTATGCCAATAATGCACAAATTAAGATGTGATATGCAACCATGCGAAGATGCTTTTAAGAAACAAGGGGAAAATTCCAGACTGCTTAAGAGAGAAGGCAGGAAGTTCTTCTAACTAGTGTTGCTAAGTGTCAGCCAAAGATTTTTTTTTTTTTTAATCTGTGAATGTTTCCCTCTGATACTAAACACCGAACCAAATAACCCAGCAGTCAAAATACTCCAGGATGTCACGAGGGAAGAACAGGGGACACAACCCATGACCATGCAGGCCTTGCTCCAGGTCACACAGTCCCTTGCATGGTGGCTGTACTGAACCTAGTCTTTAGTGTGCTGAAAATGCGATGTGTGTGTTTGATGCATGAGTATCTTCAAAACTGGTGGTGGTGTGAGTAGAGTGAGTGCACTTAGTTTCAGCTGGAAAACTGGAAAGAAAACACTAAATTTCAGTTAAGTGTTCATGATGCAATTTATGTGCCTACAAACCCATCGTGCTAAGAACACTATGGAATTTGAGAAAAAGCTCTTTCTGACTTGTCCCTACAATTTCTTAGGAAAAAAAAATAATTGGTGGGAAATCTATTTGCTAGGAGAGACTGAAGTTAATTGCATGGTATTGTATGTGTGGCAAGAAAATATGTTGAGCTATGCACAAGCTCCTGAGAACTAAATGAATGTTCAAGTGTTTGCAGTTATCAAATCAGCATCCCCGCATTCCAGAGATGAGCAGATTTTGCAAATATGCCTTGAATAATGAAGCTCAGAGATACAAGAGAAAGCTTATCTGTACATAAAAGGTCTTTTTAAACTATAATAAAACATTACCAGAAAAGGGCTGGTGTATGAATCATGAGCTTGAAGCTTCATGTGACTTTCAGGGAGCAGAGAACTGGGAGTTGCACTGCAGGAGATCTGGAGCGGCTGACCCAACTGAGCTGGGAAATAAAGGTCTAAGGTATGGAGTATGGACCGGCCGATAAAGCCAGGAGTCGGGAGAGTCGAACTCAGCTCTGTAATCCAATGCTAGTCATTTTCCACCGTTCTCTAGAAAAACCTAAACAAACTGAAATTGTTCAAGTTTAACTGTGAAGCAGTTCAGGATCTTGCATCTTTTGAGTAGCTTATACCCAAGGCCCTCCTGATCAGCCAACAGCCCTCCCAAAGCATGTGTAACAGTGTAGTATCCCAATAAATATCTTGCTGCTGTTGCTGGGTAGTAGTGCCCGTATTACCCACACAAGAGATTTGTAACATGTGAAAGGTGTATCTTTTCTCAGGAGAAATCAGTATTCTTCTCTGGTCCTTCTGTTGTTTTTCAACATTGCCTTTTTCTTCAACTGTGTCTCCCTCAAATTCACTAAAACACTTCACCAGCCACCCTAAACTGGGTGCAGTGGTCACCCACTCTCCGAACTGGGAGCACCTGCCATCATCTTGCCATGTCAGGGTGTCCTGCCCTTTGACACCTCTTAATGCAGCATTCCTGGTTTTGAATAGCTTTAATGAATCTGGAGAAATGTGTATATTTTTACATTCTAAAACAGTTTTCTACCTGGACTTCATTTACTGGTAGAAAGACAGTATTCAAAACTCCTCATATCAGTCTTGAATACATCCCAGATAGAGTGGAAAAGTGTCTGAAACCCTTTGGCATCCACTTGCTGTCAATCACATGTCAAGGCAGGAATAACAGTTGGCAACTAGCTGTAAACTTCACAGTCTTGCAGCAAGATTCGTGGAGCTGAATTTGCAGTTCAGTCCTTGGCCTTGGCTGTCACTCTCTGTAAGCCCAGCTATAAGCATGCATGCCACAGTGAGGCATCAGAGCTGTCAAACATCCAGAGCGTAGAGAACTTCATTTTTAAATGGACTGTCTCTTTTGGTATGAATAGTCAGACAGAACAATGTACAAAACAGTTGACGTGCAGTGGGAGGCCAATACAGCCCCTCAGACACATGAAAGTGTTTGCAGCACTTCAGACTACCCCATTTAATGCTTCTCCAGAGTCCGAGAATTGTTCTGATCTTTAAAATTAAGTCATACTGATCAAATGCTGCTTAGAAACCTTAATGTAATTTAAGAGGAAATAACATTAATGAGCTTAGCTCTTGGTACTTATCCTAAGGCTTAATTTCACTTTGGAAGTACAAGTAGGTCAAAACTGTCTTCCCTACCAAAAAGGGGAAACGAAACATAGAAATACCTTTCTCTGAAGGTAAGCAGGTAGATGCACATTTTCAGATGAGCAGAAAAGTAACATTTACTTTTGCAGCTATTCTAAACTGTTGGCACAGAATCCTAGGATGTGCTAGAGTTTTACAAACACAGGCCAAAAAGCCACCTAGTTATGTTTGAACGGGAGATCTGCACAGGCCAGGGTTTCACCCAGTTAAAGGGTACAGACTTGAGGGAGAACATGCTGGCCTGGCCTGTGTGAGAGATTCACACTTTTTCCTGAACAGCCACAATTTTTGTATTAAAGGTATTAGAGAAAACTTCCCAGTCTATTTTATCATCTGATTATGGGCTTCATGTCTATGAAGTTGTCTAATCCCTTTATGAACCTGCTGCTCGTCCCTGCATCCACAACCAACTGGCAACAATTTGAAAAAGATTATCTGCCTCTCTCATCATTTTTAAACCATTCTAAGAATGACTCCTTGCTCTGGCACTGTGAGATATGATGAACAGTAGTTCTGCATTTGCCTTATTCACAACTTCAGGATTTTATGAACTTTGATAACCCCTCAGCCAAATAAGTTACCAAAGTTTTTCCATAAGACCAGTGAAATACAGATTTTGTTTGCAAAACTATCTAAATTGCAGACTGGTCTTCAAACAAACAAAACATGATCACCACACCCAGACCACTCTATTTTCCACTTCAGTTTGCAAGACATTTGAAAAGGGAGTGTGCATCTGTTTCGGATTAGCAGATAATACAAAATTCTCGGATAAAATCCTGATGTCAATGAAAAAAAAATCACTTTTTTCTCCCTGTGCTTTCTATAAAACAAAAGAAAGGAGTATCATGTCTTCACTGCAAAATTCTCGTTTGTATGCCAACTTGTGAACAAAATGGTACTGGTGCATCTTAAAATCCAGCTTCCTCCTCTTGTTCTTATTTTGGTTGTCTTTCCCTTTGCTTGGCATAATATATTTTAGAAGTGGTGCAGCTGCAATGCCTTGTCTTTAAGTTAAAATGTATTTCAGTACTTCACCTACCGCTCCTTTTTTCAAGCACCACTGCAATCTAACCAGGCGGAGGATGAATTTTCAGGACTTTGAGCAAATTTGAGTTTGACTTTGAGTAAGTCAAACTTATAGTTCAGAAATCAGTTCTAAAGAGACACTATGGCAGATATTCACCTGCCATATTTACCTGAAACAAAGATTTTTTTTTTTAATCTGGTTTCTGGTTTACTAGTTTAAATGCATCTTGAGTTGGTACTAAACTATGAAGAACAGTAGATAAGAGACTGTATATTTTCTGACAAGTCATTCAGCTGGAGCCTAACATGCTCATTTTAACAGCTCATTTGTGTCTGCTGTCTTGGCATTCTGACACTCGTTGTCAAGGTTCCCTTCCAAGGCAGCGAGGTGCTTCAGTATTCAACACCACTGCCCTCATCTGCAGTGCCACATACCAGGCTCTAAGAGCAAATACAAAATCAGCATTTATGGAATATATATATTTTTAAAATATCAATTATCATCAGTAGCTTTTCTATTATGCAAATGTCATATTTAAAACAACACGGGGCAAATTATGAAAAAGGCATTTATTATTTACACAACTGCTATAGTTCCTTAAGAACAATATATCCCATTTTTATTTGAAAGGGTCAGTCTTCTTTCAAATACATGAACTGCATAATGCACAACTGTTGGTAATGCCAAACAGCAGTCACATCACACTTGTATAGTGCAGGCATAAGCAGCGCAAGTAAATGATATTTTAAGAACAGTATGGCTGAATATTGTATTTAAACACAGTGTTTGCACTTTGACAAGATTTAGCTAGAAGAGAACAAGGGGTTTTGTTCATGCTTTGTTAGGAATATGACTTTCCCTTCTGAGGTTTAAACCCTTTATCTGACATAGAAGAATATTCCTTTTTCAGGTAGACTGCTTTTCACTTACCAAGTAAGAGTAGAATTTTCTCCCTCAAACTTCAATCTTTTTTTTCTTTTTTTCCAGTAAACACTGTTTTATAGTACAAGTTCTGACATTGGTGTAGATTGGCCACAGTTTTTTTCCATCTTACTGTCTTGCACAGAGAAACACTGACATACTAATACGTACCAAACTTAGACAACTTGTAATTTATAGACTTAAATACTGGAATGGGAGAGGGAGACTGTTTCTAAAGATGGTGGGAAGAGAGGGCTCATACAATTCATATACTGCCAATGCTGGCTCCTTACTCAACTTTTTTGGTCTAAATTTTTTTTTCTAGTTTCAGAATGATTTTGGTCTTTAATGGTTATGGTTGGGTTTTGGTAGCAAAGGAGAGGAAAGTTTTAAGTAGTGACATCAGAAATGAATGCAAGAGAAGGTAACTGATTTCTCCTGCTTTAAGCTTATTGCTGTGATCTTTTTAAAAAAAAAAAAAAAAAAAAAAACCCACAACCAACCAACTGGAAGACCAAGTATAGCAGTCATTCTGGCATTGGATCCAGTGTCCAGCACTATTACACTCTAGCGTAAAAGCAAGGAAAAGTCCAATGATCTTAGTTATGTTCCCGTCAATTCAGTGCCACACACTTTTATTAGCATTACTGTCCTTGCTTCTTTGAAAGATACCTGAAAGAAACAAAAAAACGCTCTTTAAAAGAAGAGATGGGTACAGATATATACAAGCCTTTTATAAGTCTAACATATGAATCTACTTTCTCTTCTCAATAACAAGTGCTTTATTGGAGAAGAAACAGGACTATGATCAATAGTATTCGTGATTTTGCTACTTCAACATTATTTTTATTCCATGATGGATTATCTCAGTCATTCAAGGTCATGTTTGCAAACTGTATTATTTTAAGTGGGGGAGCAAATGTAAAGATGTTTGATTCTAAGAGGTTAAAAATTACATCAGTTGAATTAACGATCAGATTAGTGATTATATTCTTTAAGTTGAATACAGAACCCCTTCAAATAAATTTAAGAGTATAATGAACAGTCATCCACCACAAGGAGCAGAGCAATCTGCTACTAGTTTCCTTAGAGAATCTGAGTTATATGATCTTACAGTCCTCCTGCTATAGCCAGAGTAATTCGGCTATGTGGTGATATTGATGTCTTTGTAAATGCTACAAAAAATCTAACCAGTTTGATACTGTGAAACATCCAGTACATTTCACTTCTAAAATGTGGTGTCTGCCCCTCTTAAAGGAGAGGAAGAAAGGACAAATTCATAAGGCTATTATTTTAAGCACTGGATAAATGTTTTTCTGTTAGAATACTGCATAGCTATTCCACATGTAATGAAACTTTGGGCTACTGCAGTGAAACTTTGGAGCATTGCATAAAATCCTGAGGATGAATTTTGGCAAACACTTTAATCATTCTTTAGCAAGAATTAGGATGCCCTAAATGGTGTCTTAAGAAAATCCATTTACATAACAGATTCTACGAATACTATAGTATCATGCAACTTGGTTAACATCTGAGAACCACACTGTAACACTAAACCTCAGGAGTAACAACTGGAAAAGTTGCATTGTAACAAAAGATTTGAGATCTACAAAGGCGAACAGCTTAGGAGGGGATAATGAAAGATTTCCAGGGACAAAGTTCCTTCAAAAATTACTTTTCCTTTAAGAAGTATAGTTGCTCTACTGAAAACAAATGTTGATCATGAACTCTGAGCGGGGGGGAGGAAGGGTTCCCTACTGTCAAAATTCTAACTTTTCAGGGAAGTAGCCTGAATGCCATAGTCTTAAATTCTACTCTACTACTGGGTGACCTCTGTAACTAGAAGTGATGCTCATCTGCTCAGTTGTTTCTGGTATTTCTGCAGATGATCTTAACTACAACAGAGTAGGGCCAGAAATACAAGGAAGAAATAATTCTGACTTTGTTCTTACCTTTCCCAATGTTTGTGATTCAGCTCCAAGAAGTCATCTAATTTTGCTATTTCTTTGAGGTATTGAGTGAGTTTTAGAAGTTCCTTGTCTTTATCCCGATTTAAATGTGCTTTCATAAAAGGCCTTATCTATATGAAATGAATCACATGGGTATAAGCATTTGCTTAAAGAAAAATGTTTTCAATTCTCTAACATTTACCACTTAATGAAAATATATTTTTAGTACTATTCAAACTTAGAACTTCTCTTAGGTAAAGGAAAGGGAACACTTCTTAGTGACCGCCTCCAATTTGTCCTGTTACTAATGCAATCTGGACTACAGGGACTTTGTGTGGTATGTCCTCCAGCAAGACATTTATCCTGATGGTTTTGCAGTTCTTCAAGTTCTCCCCTCCCAGCAAGGCAGAATGACAAACTGATCTGCAATAGACTGACATATTTTCTAATTACATGGATTGTATTACAGGAGACATGAGGGGTTTCAGCTCTGCTTAATGAGTTGTGTGGCCTCTCTAGGGCCAGTTTTATTTTTTTTCCAACAAAAATAATTTAAATAGAATCATAACTTCAGTGACTAAAGAGATGTCAGAAATAAAGCTTATCTGACAATTGCTTTAAACTTGGAAGGCATTATAACTGTGCCTTGTTTTAGCTATTCAACATTCTTGCCTGCAGCTCTGTTAATGTTTTGATAAACATCTTTGAGATCTGAGCTAGAGGGAGCTCCCTGAGCAATCGTCTCCCAGAAAGACTTTTGATATTCTTTTGACGCTCATAACAGGACATGGTTCTGATTAACATCTCCCTGTCAGGTCTCGGTGATTACTGTTTTCTTCAAATCATGGATGTTTTCAAACAAATATCTTTTACCACTGCATTTGCAAACATTTTTAAAGTACTTTTTGAAATTCTTTTAGTACCATATTGCTGCACTGTAATCTATCAGTAGAAATCGAAGTAGCATGCTGCTTATTCAGAGCACTGATGATGAGTCTTGGAACAGGAAGTGGTTGAAAATCTTATAGAATGAAATTTACTGTTCTGCACTCAAAATGGCTCCAGGTCTTAAATTTTCTGGAGCAGAGTGCTTGCATGCTAACAAAGTACAGCAGCTTGATATTTTCTTGACATTGTACTTCGCCTGTTTTAATGGCAGTAATGCCCCACCTGATTATGTTTTGCAAGCGTAATTTATGCAGAAATTGTAATTTCAGTGATTTCAGTTCTCTTAAAAACAAAAGTGAATCAAAGTGTACTTAATAATGAATCAAACATTTTCTATTGCTTTTAGAAAAGCACTGCTCAGAAATGTTAGCCTGGACAAATAGTAATTTAAGTCAAAATTAATAAAACATGTATCTTCACTGATTAAGAACTTCTTTTCTTTAAGATACAACCAGAAGTATGAAAACGTATTTTTCAAAGTGTGAGAAAGGCAGTAATAAATGATAACTTAGTTAAAATTACCTTGAGTCCATTTTGTGGATTCATTAGGAAGTTTCGGCCAATATCATCAAACATAATAGTATTTTTTTTGCTGTAATATTCTGAAAACTTTCCCCAGATAACACCAAGAGGCTTCACCTGCAAAAATGACGCATATTAGGTATCTGAGGTAATTTAGATCATATGCAGATGATGAAAATATCAGTCTATAGGAGCTTGAATGGGACCCTTGAATTCTTTTGCTGAAAAATTAGCAGGCAGTTTGGCTTTAAGGAAAGAGATATTAATGGTACAGCATGCTACATACTCTCAACCTAAAGGAAATCCGTGTGGCACTACATTTTCTTGCCACAGTCATATCTATTCGATCTGAAAGCAGTGTTACTCAAACGACCTACTGAAATTAAAACAGGAAACATTAATAAATGGTTTCAGTAGAAGGTGGTTTGATAACATGTCTCTTGAAAAGTAAAAAAGACCAGGAAAAACAATAACACTTACATCTATTAGTCCTCTTCTAGGAGTGTGCACAGTTATCATTGCAGCACTGTCCAACATGAAGGTTATCTTGTAGTTGGCATTGGTACTCACTCCAAGCTCCTGCATCAAAAAGACTATTGATTAAAGCTTCAGATTATGACAATTTTTCCTGCTGTGCAATTGTAACAAGGTTAACACCTTTGTCAAAAGCTAAGCTGCTGAGGATAAATAGAAACACACTAAAAGTAAGTATCTGTTTTATATGTGGAGAATCAAAGTACCCCATTCTAACGAGGGGAAAAGCAGAGAGGAATTTATTTTGGCAGTGTTTACAGTTAGACAACAATTGTTGTCAGCATAAAATTAGAGTAATTTTGCAGAAGAGGCAAAATACAGACAACCCATGGCCATATCTTCATGCACAACCTTTCACAAATTCTACAGGTTTCAGAGCTTTGCCCTATAACAAGGATAGCAGGTATGCATGTGTTCTGCTATTCGTTCATTTCAGTAACATGCAGTAAATCACAGCCCAATAAAATATCCAAAAAAAGGTTGTTCCCTTTTTTCCTGAGTATATCCAAGACAGACAATGACAGTCAGAAGTCAGGAGACTGTCTGCATTGTAAAGATTTGATCACTCCTAAAATAAAGACTTCAAGGAAAACTATCACTTTTAGAAAATAATCTTTGATCATTTCAAATCCTTTCTAAAGTTGAAGAGCAACAATAAAATCTGCTGACTATTTGTAACACATTTTATCTTGCTGACTTAATTCTGGTGCATGCAACAGCAATAACATAGCAAGGAGAAAATATCCACTGCAACAGCTTTCTTGCAGCTATCCAGCCACACTTAGATGACTTGCTTTTATAGGCAAATGAAAAGCGCCAGCTACTTGGGCCAGTGTTCTGCTGTGCTGAAAAAGCTGCCTGTTCTAGAGCATCTGAAGTCTATGAGTAAGCATACGGTAAAATAGAGGTTAAACTTGGTTATCCGATATTGCCTCTTTTTCATGCTGTTTCTGCTTTTGTAAATTTAAACAAAACTGGAATACCGAGGATTGCTGGAATTATTGTTCCTAGATGGAACCTGTAGAGGTATGCACTCCTGTGTGGTCAATTTAAGGAGAATTTGTAGTTTATTGGTAGGAATTTCAAGTGATCAAGATGCAGGACCAGGCATGGAAAGGTGGTGATTCAGTAACAAATAAAAGGACTTTGGAAGATGACCTAGCAATATGGAAACTGGTGGCCAGTGTAGGAGAAAGCATTGTTTGGACCAGTTGCTTTCCCCTAGTAAAATCCTAAGCCTACAGACCATGATACAAAGAATTACTTGGCTTGCAAGACAGTAAATACCACAGAGAGTGTGATGCTTGTGTGCGTGTGTATATATATATATATAGCATGTATATATGTATGTTCAGGGCTGAAACTAAGTAAAAAAAAAAAAAGTGATTAGATCTGTAGACTTATTTCATCATGCTCACACTTACCTCTAGCTGCTACAAGGCATTTGTTTACAGCCAGAGAGCTAACTCACAAGACACAGCTACAAGCTCTTTCAATAATATTTTAGTAATATTCTCTTTCTAGATTGAAATCATAGTTTTGTAATATAGAATCTAGGTTTCGTTTCTTCCTAAATGTAGCAGACTGCTACAGAAGTCATAACTATAGGTGTCAGTAGTGTTTTATTTTCGTGGAACTATTTCACAGATATGATCAAAGGTTTTTATTTCAGAGATAAATATGAAGCATTTCTGTTTGTTTAGAAAAACTATAGCAAAAAAGGCTATTTTGAGCAAATTAAAATGGGAAAGTGTTCTTTGCCCTGCTTAAACTAAAAGAAACAAATAGAGTAGAAACAAATAGAGTAGAAACTACAAAGTCTAAATTTATAAAAGTTTTCCCCCAAAAAGGAGGAAACTGTTTTGATTTCTAGACACATAAACTCTCAAACCAAACATACAGCAATTTTTAGTAAGCTGATTAGCTTTGTGTTTAAGACTGGCTGTAGATGTATTCCACTAGGTCAGCTGTGCAAAACTGGCTAGGTGCGGAAGGAACCAAGATTGAAAGAGCTCTTACGGATGTTTTAATAAGGCAGAGGAAGCACGAGGCACACAGCTGCAAGAGATACAAGATAAATACAAAAGGGGTTTCCTCTTGCTGACTTAGTCCTGCATATGCCATATTTATCCACACCTTTAAAAAAACAAAATGTATTATACAACTCTACTAATTAGAGGTAAAACATGAAAGCAACAATGACGGTTGCAGTAACTAATCTATTTCAGCAAACACCACCTAGTGTTTAACTGTGCTAAATTTAGGACCCACTGCTGTGATAGTTTGTGTGCAATTCTAAAATTAGATTTAATCTAATTCTGTGACAAAACTATGTTAAAGCGTCTATAAGCATTTAGAACACTCAGATTTCAATTTACATGAGCTCCCCAGTTGCTATTCCTCTTTACAAGGCTGAACATAGGAGCAACTAAATGAACAGTTAGGCTAGAAATAATTAGTATTTTTAGAACAACTTACTTTCATTTTAGCTTCAATCCACTTCATATTAGTAGCAGCTAAAACAAAAGGGAGAAAACAGATTAAGAAAGGCCAAAAACCTGTTTGTTTAACCTATCCTTTATTAACCTATCCAACAATAAATTCACAAACTTTCATTTCAGAAGATTCATTCTTATTACAGCTTCAGGTCACTGTCTTTAAATTATTCTGCCTTTGTGAAAGCTTATTTCTATTTCAAGGAGCTTCCTTTGCAATTGAATGCATACAATAAGCACTGCATGTAGTCAAACCTATTTTCTAGATCAGCTGTTACTGAAGGGTGAAAGGAAGTGGGCTACATCTGGCCAGTGGCACTATATTGACTTTATAGGAAGCAAGGGTAAGAATACATAAGGCCTGCAAGGCACAAAATAGCAACATTGCCCATGGATCTAAGAATTTGTGGAATTATTGTTCAAGAGTATAAAACTAAATTTTGTGGTAATTTTAACATGGTTTAAAAGCTGTCTTAAGTAAAGTCTGCTCTCCAGATGTTGGGCAGGAAGTGAAAAATGTGTTAAAGCAAACAATCTACCATTCCTGTAGTCAGTTCCATTCATTTCTACTTTTCCTTTGCTATGACACTTCACTACTTATCTAGACAGAGATTATTTGTAAAGGAATCTATCAAGCAGTGTCTGAATATTGATTACACAATTTCATTACTGCAGACACTTATTTGTACAAACTAATACTTTGTAAAGTGATATTGAGCTTTATGCTGTGATTAGATCCATTCGGATGGGCAATATGTGCTGCTTTCTTTTTCCCACCCACATAGAAACTACTCTTTTTCTAAAGCAGCTCTAACAACTGTGTGTGAATGTTCCTGGTGAATGTGTTATGGGCAAAAAAAATACATTTTTTCATATCTTGTGATTTGCACTAAAAAGCAATGTAAGTATTTTTAGCTTGGTGCCTCCATTATTGACAATTTACAGTTAAGTCTTGGGTGTTGTCTATGCTACTTACACCAAATAACAATATCGTAATCCTCATAGGCAGATGTCAGGAATTCATGAAGATATGGCCTCATTAGTTCTACCCCAGTTTCAGCACACGATCTATGGTCTGCAAAGACGAGAAATTAATCATTAAGTTTAGGGTGTTTCATCTGACTGTCCTACCAGTGAGTTCTCCTACTAGAGAGTTTTACCAAGGTAGCACTGGAGGTAATGAACGTATTCACCCTCCACCATGTACTTTGAACAGCAAACTCACACTTCCATTTTAAGAAGTGAAGCAGCGGAGAAGGACAGAAGCAGCAGAAGGAAAGTTAATTTGTTGTTATTTGGGGGCTTAGCTAATAATTAAATCAGGGAGAGCTTTGTGTCTAAATATCTTTGAGCAGCCAGGCCAAATAGTTCATCTATGACCCTTAGCAAATTTGTGATAGCTCAGACATAAACCAGCTTCCTGTCAACCTAGTCCAGATCATCTTCTGAACATGTATCAAACTTTTCAGACACATAAATGCTGCATGTTCTGGTTGGAAAACTGCTGTCAGTGAGATCCCATTAGAAAGAGACCTCTAAATAAAATCTTTGACCCTGTCATTAACAGATGGAATTTGGATCTGAAATTGCAAACAAATCTCATCAAAAAAGAATTAAGGAGAGAGAAGGACACAAACTGTTTACAATCAGGACACACCTACATCTCAGGCCTACATCTCAACTGTGGCCTCCAAGAAAACCAGTCTGGTAGAATTTTCAGGTAAAACATGCTTTCATGCATGTCTAGTAACTCGTTGAAAATATAATTGGAAGCTACTCTCCCACCTCCCAAAAGGGGAATCTGTCACGTATGGATGGAGATCATTACAACAACAAAGTCATTGCTGGCTCCATGATGTCCAATACGCAGGTGAGTTAAAAGTTATTTGGATCAGGTGCTAAACTATTTTTTTTATGTTGTATAGAAAGTAGAACTGCTTTAAAATCAATGGTATGCAACATTTGTAAGGTACAATTCTTTTTAAACTTATCAGCAGAAGATTCTAAAATATTATAAAGTAGATGTTGAGTAATACCACACAACCCCAAGTTACTGAAGTGGACTTGTAAAGCAAAAATCAAGACATGTTAACTGGCAAACAGATTGACCTCTTAAACAAAACAGGATAATTGCATAAAATCTCACCAAATAGTGTATAATCAACATCTAACACCAGTAGCTTTTTTCCTTCCCTTGGAGGATTCAGAATTTCCACTTTGTATTCTTTAACTCTGCGTGAAATTTTTAGTAGATTTTCTTCCCTAATACAATAAAGCAAAAAGTTATAGTTAGTTAAAACGCAGGTTGTCTATTAAATCACAGGACTACTTTAATGGATAAAACTCCTAACCTATTTTCTACTTCAACAACTTCTTCTTCAATATCAAAATCATTCACAACATCGTCATTATCAGGGGGTGGCCCAAGAACATCTTCCTAGAGGAATGATAATAATAGATAATTAATATCATCAAAGCAAAACAACACTAGATATGAAAATTTTTGCTACTGCATGCAACAGAAACAATGGTATTATTTAAACTAAGTTATTTTTACTTTGTTCTGGAGTAACTAGCAAGAACTACTGAGGAATGCTGAGATTCCATAATATCATAGGAGCAAGTCAATACTTTAAACTCCTGTATTGTTCCAGGTTTAATGTATACAAGTTACAAAAAAACACCTTCACAGAAAAAAAGACATCAACCGAAATCTACATTGCTTTTTGCAATGATGACTAGAATATTCTCAACTTTATATGTCTTCTCATTACGATTTTAATCTTATTTTCTTTGAAATAGCATGTAAAATATTTACCAAACTCTCTTCACGAGTGCCCATCATCATGATTTTAGTATTTGGCTTTAACTTTAGAGCTCCAAGCTTAACATCATCATCTGCAGGTTTGCCTACAATGCAAGCAGAGATTTTTCTTGAACAGAGGTATTTTAGAAATGTGTCAATATAATACATCTTTTGCTTACTTGAAAAAAACACACATCAAACACTAAAATTCACAAGCTGTATTACTCTCCTCCTCTATGTACGGTCAGTAGCTTGTTCCACTAACAGCAATTTAACCTTTTTTAATGTACATTTGCAGCACTTCCACAGGCACCATTAAAAAAGTGAACATATTGATGTAAAAATAATAAGCAACATTGTGACATGCAAAATTTCTGTTTATCTGAATGATAGCTCTAGGAGGTAGATGCCCCGCTGATACACGTCCTGACTAGGATGTATCCTCAAATGTCTCATATCCACAACAAACAACAAATCTGAATAGTTACCCTTCATCTTAAGTCCAAGCAGTTTTTGACGCTCTGGTAACACTCCAGTAAGGCCTTTAAGAGACTGTTTCAGATCCAACACTGTGTCCTCTTCTGATAGTGAGGTTATTGTATATTCCTGTCCACCCCATTTTATTATAAGAGAGAGAGACATCCTTGAATCATATGTTCTGTATTATTTTCTGAAAAAATCTGCTGGAGAAGGAAGAGAAAATGATCATGTAAGGGAAAAAAAAAAAAAAAGCAGAATTACTCTTAAGGCAAACTACAACATTTGAACTACAACATCTTAAAAATGTTATCGAACTAAGCATTGTATGCTCATTTTGCATGAATAGATGCTAAATGTGTTGACAACGTATGGAACTATGAGAGAAAAAACAGCATTAAAACTAGAGCTCCAAGTTTTGCTTCACTGTATTTAGCAATGTCACATTCACCCCTGCTCCGGTGTGTGCTCGTTTGCTGCTTCTTTTGGGCAGGTGCAGGCTGTTCACTGCACAATCAGCTCCCAAGCAGAGTGCTGCAGGATCATAAAGTCATCTCAGATCTCAGAAATGTTTCCTGCAATAATCAAGCAACTGAACCACTCAATGATAATGTCAAATATGCAGTTACAAAACAGCAAGCATAGAATACCATCAAAACACAGAAAACAAAACCGTTCCTGAACAAGCAGTTCAGCTGAAGCATTAGTTTACTCACTGTCACTAAGATCTGTGCAATAGCTGCAGTAACACACACCCCAGGCCACATGTCACAGTGCCAATATCAAATTAGGAGGCTGAGAACAAAGCCAAAACTCACACCTACACAATGCAATTACTCCTACTATAAGAACTCAACATTTGTTGCAGTGCTGACAAAACTGCCATAATTATACTATCTTCAGTTTAACAAAATCAACTGTATTTACAATTTAGTCTTGCATCAAAAACAGAAGCAGGATTTTTAGCTGTGGAAGGGAGAAGACCGTGTTTTGGGGCTAAAGTTTGAGAGCAGAAGAAGAAAAAAAAAAAAAAGAAAGCAGATCTATGAGAAAATGTTGTGTTTTCAGGAGATGCATTATAGCAAGAAGTACAGACATAGCAATTTAGAATTAAAGCCTGAAAAATGTCAGAATCAAAAAAATCTGATTCTGCTTCTTCTCCAGCATTATCTTTTCAGATATTATCTACTCTCAGCCAAAATACTTCTCATTAATACTGTATTAAGAATGATCATGTAATTACTCAGGCATACCATAAGACAGAGATGAGAAAGTGAGGACTAGATACAATCTGCTTGCTGAGGACACCAAAAGCCACCTGTCCTCATTACTCCCTCTGCAAACCCTGACCACAAGCTGCAAACTGATAGTCTTGAACAACAAAAAGCTATTTTTAGTAAAGTGCTAAGAAAGCAAACAGAGTTTAAGAGTGATAAGCAATGGAAATGCACAAGCTTATTATCACAAATAATCTCTGCCCGCCTAGACTAACGTTACAAAAAAAAAAAGAGTTTATTGTCTCCTTTCTCATCTAGACCCATGCACTGACTTACCCTAAGTCATCTGCAAGAAAATGGATGAGTCAAGATCTGTAAGGAAACTTCCCAGTTCTCTGTCCAGTGCTAAGTTACAAAGATCCTCACTCTTCACTTAAGCATTTGAGCCATCATCTGTTCTTACATCATCTGAGCTATCATCTATTCTTACTGGGTTACAGCCTGTCAAGATGAAAGTCATCAGAAACGCCAAGCAAAAACAAATGGCTGTTATTCAATGACTGTTATGCATCAGAACCACTGTCACAAGTAAAAATGCCTAGGACCCAAGAGGAGGCAGGGAAGATTTTTGACATTTCTCCCATGCAGGCTGGTCGTGTGTGACACTGACACTTAAGCATGGGGGTTGCTCTGCCCTTAAAAGCTCCCTGTCCCCCGCAAGGGTCTTCCCGAGGCGGGAGCGCTGCCCAGGCTGCGCTGCGGGGCTCCGCGTTGCGCTGCGCTTTTCCCCAGCATTAAAGCCCGGCGTATTTTATATTTTGCGGTATTTTAGCGCAGCGCTCCCGCAGCTCAAGAGGAGGGCCAGAGGGGCAGCGCGGAGGGCGCGCGCCCCGGCAAGGCCGCTGCGGACGAGCGCGCAGCGCCAGCGCTTCCCGGGGCGGCAG